CAATCTTCATGAGAAACATAATTTAGATGAGTAATGTTGAACACAAGTAAAAAAGTCCAGCGGTGATGTTTTTTATTTCTCTATAGACAAATAGTGCTGATCTGATGCTGTGAATTAAAGTTAAAATGTCTTTAAAACCCACAGCTGAATTTACACAAACTTGGTGAGAAACATGCTTTAAATGTGTGGAATTCAAGGAAATCTATAGGTGAAATGTTGCTTTTTTGTTCACTAGTGAACACCTTTTTTAACGTGCGCTCACACGTGCACGTGCGCACACACGCACCTACACTCATCATTGTGTCCCCCCCACATTACAGATGCTTCTGATGCCTTTGGTTACAGCTAACATGCTACAGACGTAGCTCCTCTCAAGCATCCTCCTAACATGAATATATGTTTATGATCAACCCCCTGGTCAACCACTTCCCGCACTAAGCTGCTAAACTGGCGAGTGAGTAACACAGGTACCTCCACCTCCTCCACCTGTGCGCGTTTTCTGCCGAGGCAAGAGGCAGGAAGGGACGGTGGAGAGTTGGAGGTAACCAGGAAAACCTGGAGTGGAGTTTTAGTGGCTTGAGTATTCTCCTATTAATCAAGTGGAATGGATTCGTTCACGAAGAAAGAGAAACTGTGTTGCCTGAACTAATGTTTTATAGTAAAAGTGAGGGGTCCAAATGAACGTTTTTTTAATGTGGGGGGGGACTTGTCCCCTTCACATATATTGGTTGCAACGCCTATGCACCCACTGGTGTACGGTCTAAACCATCAAAATGTGTACCCACAGCTGTTCACACTGGTGAAACATTTTTTATGCATGCCAGCATCATATGTCCCTTGCAAGTGAGTATTTTCCAAGTGTGGAGAGGTTGTGAGCAAAAAAAGAAACAGGCTAAGTCCTAAAACTGTTGAAAAACTGATGCTCCTCAATAAAACTTTGATACTTCCCAGTCTTTGCACTGTTTTCCACAGGGACTTTCTTGTTGTCATTTCATTGTTATTTCTAACAAAGATAAAGACCCAGACTCACACATTCAATCTTTATTTGAAGATAGATCATGTAAACATCAACTTTTAAAACCAAATAGTCCAAGTGAGATCATAGAAAGTTGCTACATAACTTAAACTGTTTGTACCAGAGTAAAGGAGCTTCTTTAACACTGTTCATTAAAGTTATTTGGGTGTGTGCAATAAAATACGATTGTCTGAGTTAACTGCAGCATTTCAGGTGGCCAGGAGAGGTCGCTGTAACTTAAGCTTCAAAAAATTAACCAATTTTTGAAACCAAAAAAGTCCATGGTCAATAATCCATCCATCCATCCATCCATTTTCTTTACCCGTTTTTTCCATTTTGGGTCACGGGGGTCGCTGGTGCCCAGGTCCAGCAATCACTGTGCGAGGGACGGGGTACACCCTGGACAGGTCGCAAGTCCATCACAGGGACACATAGAGACAAACGAGACAAACAAACTTTCACTCTCTCACTTCACACCTAGGGACAATTTAGAGTTACCAATCAGCCTAACATGCAATGTTTTTGGACTGTGGGAGGAAACCGGAGTCCCCGGAGAAAACCCACGCATGCACGGAGAGAACATGCAAACTCCACCCAGAAAGGCCCCTGGACCGGGGTTTGAACCAGGGACCTGCTTGCTGAGAGGCAGCAGCTCTACCAGTTGTGCCACCGTGCTGCTGGTCAATAATCCTGGTATACAATCCAACAACTTTCAGTCAGGTCATCTGGACAGTTTTTTTTTTTTTTCTGAAACGTTTCACCTTCCATCCAGAAGGCTTCATCAGTCAAGGAAACACACAACACAGAACTGATTCTTCCCCCATCAGTTCTAGAATTGCGCCGCTCAAGGTGGCTGCATGTTGGAGCAGCTCTGTTACTTTCATTCTGAGATTTTCCTTTTGGAAACTTTAATTCCTGGTTTTCTGGATGTAAATCATCGCATTTTTTGGATGATTGTTTCCTCTGGTATCAGATGCTGTGCAGCTGGAAGGATTTTTACTGAAACTTTTTTAGGTTTGGACATTTGTTATGATGCGTAACCATGGCAACAAGGCAGTTTTCTATAACCAACAGCAGCTGATCAACATCTCCAAAATTCAAATAATATCTCAACTACAGCCCCTAATTTCAAATGAGTTGAAAGGATGTTCTGTGGATGCATTCTCATCTACCTGCCAGCTGTGCTGGAGTGCCTGACCACTGAGATCCTGGAACTAGCAGGAAACACAGCTCATGACATCAGAAGGACAGGATCGTCCCTCGGCACCTACAGTTGGCTGTCCACAGTGACAAGGAGCTCGGCAGACTGCTGGGAGGAGTGGCCATCGCTCTGGGAGGAGTTCTGCTCGGCATTCGGGCGGTCCTACAGCCCGGGGGAACCGAGAGGCCAGCCGAGTCTGTGGACGGATTGGACGGCATCTGCAGCCAGTTTCTTAGGATCCACTGTGGGATGGACCTTTACAAGAGATCCTTCCTGTCTACAGCCATCAGTGTCTATAACGTCTCTTAATGAAATGAGGATAACGAGTTACAAGAAAAATAATTTCTCTTTGCATTCCATTGCTGATGAGTTGGTACTACTGAGGAACCAAAGACCGGGGGGGGGGGGGGAGGTGAAGAGGAAGAACTTAATAACAAGATTAGATAAAGTGTCTCTTAATTATCCTTCATCTATTTAATTAGTTTACTTTTTCTTTTGACATATAATTATATTTGTTTGTTTGTTTTCTCTCTCTCTCTCTCTCCTCCGCTTATACCTAAAATAATCTAATCAAGGACTATTAAAAAAATAAAAAATAATAACAATGCAAATAAGAAAATAACTGCCAAGATTAAACGAAAGCAACCCATATGTTATACAATTTCATTGTTTTCTTTCTTTTTTATTTATTTTTACTTTTTTATATTATTGTTGTTGTTAGTCTGTAATGTTTGTTTTTTGTACACAAATTGGTGAATAAAATAAAAAAGTGGCTTGACATAAGGAATGCAACAGCTGAAACCCATGTCTTGCATATGTATGTGTGTGGTGGTTCTTGAAGCACTGACTCCAGCTGCAGTCCACTCTTTTGACTCTCCCCCACATTTCGGAATGGGTTTTGTTTCACAATCTCCTCCAGGGTGAAGTTATCCCTATTGTTTGTAAACTTTTTTCTACCACATCTTTTCCTTCCCTTCACCTCTCTATTAATGTACTTGGACACAGAGCTCTGTGAACAGCCATCTTCTTTAACAATGACCTTTTGTGTCTTTCCCTCCTTGTGCAAGGTGTCAATGGTCATCTTTTGGACAACTGTCAAGTCAGCAGTCTTCCCCATGCTTGTGTAGTCTACAGAACTAAACTGAGAGACCATTTAAAGGCATTTACAAGTGTTTTGAGTTAATTAGCTGATTAGAGTGAGACACCAGGTGTCTTCAATATTGAACCTTTTCACAATATTCTAATTTTCTGAGATACTGAATTTGGGGTTTTCATTAGTTGTCAGTTATAATTATCAACATTAAAATAAACATTTGAAATATATCAGTCTGTGTGTAATGAATGTTTGTAATATACAAGTTTCACTTTTTGAATGGAATTACTGAAATAAATCAATGTTTTCATGATGTTCTAATTTTATGACCAGCACCTGAAAATGATCAACCCTTTGTTCTCTATAGTGTGCCTAGCTATTCATCCTAAAGACAGGATGCAGGAAGTTGTCCAAGGTGTAACTCCAAAAATGCAAGGACAGAAAATGCCACCAGGCTATGACTTCATATTAGATCATACTTTTTTATTAAGATCACTTCCACCAAAGAAATGTTGAGTGGTACTTGAGAAGCCCTATCCAAACATGGCTTGGTTCGGCCAGAAGTTTTGAGAGGTTAGGTCTTATCATTGCAACTTAAAGCCACACTTTTATGTTCTTGTATGCACAAATAAAAACACATATTGACACATGTAACAACAATTTCACAAAAAATGGTTTTTTGCTCTCCCTTTGTGCTTTTATGAAGAAAAAAAACAACAACTTTAAATCAAAAACAGTGTATCAGTCGCCCAGCTGAAAACAAAAAGCAAAACACAAAATAAAGGTAAAAAGATGTTCTGCTTCTTAACTGAACCGTTCTCCACCTGCTGCAGTTCTTGGCTCTTGCCAGCACATGTCACTGTGACTGTCTTTTTTCTGCAGGATCTCTGTGGCTCAAATGAAGCAGGATCCTCATGCAAACCCAGCTGATGTTTCTCACCTATCAGGACAAAACTGACAGCTCGAAGAATCACAGCACTCAAGGAGAAGCAGGTAGATTGTCTCAACGTGCAGCAGACACATTGTAAATATCACAGAATCAATCGGATAACTTGGAAAAGTTTAATATGATCAAAAACAAAATAAATCAAAGATATTTCTAACAACACAAAAAACTGGAGATCAGATTATTTAATTACCAGTAACACAAGCAGAAAACTTAGAGATGTTTGAATTTTAAATTTAAACTACAAAATGTAAATACCAGAGCCACCAGGAAAAGTTTACCATCTAGAGCAGTTTAAAGGGTCCAAAATTAATCACTTGTTTCACGCCACTGGCCAGTTTTAGTTGATACCTGCCCTCTTTTCTTAATTGCAAGTTCATCAAACATTGATCTGTCACTCGCTGAAACGTTTCACCTTCCATCCAGAAGGCTTCATCAGTCAAGGAAACACACAACACAAAACTGATTCTTCCCCCAACAGCTTACTCCAAAGTGGAAAAAAACAATTTTGTTGGTGCTAAGATGGTCTCTTTGGCACGCCCCCTCATCCGGTGCTGGCCCTCTCCCTCGTCGACAGTCATGTCAAACTAGTTCAAAACCAACAAAGTCCAGATGACCTGGCTGAAAATTGTTGGGAGTTCATAATTAGATTACTGAATGTTGGCGCCATCACGTAGTCACAGATCCCTCAACAACAGACTTTTCAATATGGTTCTTTATTTGAATCATTTTTACATCTCATAAATTATACAAAACAAGTTCAAAATAGTGTCTTCATGTAACAATTGTAAACTTTTCTCTTTTATAAAGCTGTTTAATTATTTGTCTGTTTCATCAATATGAGTGCATGTGGCAATATAAGACAACATAAGACAGTGTGTGACACATGCATTAGCTTTTATTTTCTTAATTGTCCTTTCTGATGGGAAATTCCAGTGATGTCCTGTACCGTTGGGGCATGTGACTCTCTTTGTTGATTGGCTGCTTGGAAACAGGAGCATAGATCTGAAGCTGCCCATCATGCATCAGAGAACAGGAGAGGCCAGACAGATCCAAGTAAATGGGCAGGTCTATCTTTTGCACAAAACCCATTTGAGATGAAGCTGAAGAGGAGGAGGCAGAAGAGGATGAAGAGGAGCAGGAATGGCTTTCCTCTTCCTGCTTCATGGCTACTATTGCCAGGCTCCTCCCTTCCAGTCTGACAGTGATATCACTTGGAGCGTAACCACGAGCATCTAATGTTACCAATAAATCACTGTTTGTGTCGCTGGCTTGCTGTGTGTCCTCATGCCACTCTGTGCTGGAAGTCTCCTTCTTCTGATTTCTACCATTGCTCAACCTGGAAAAATTACAAATCAGAATCAAAGATTTTGTTGCTAACCCACTAGAACACTAATAAAACACTTGCCAGAACACCTCCCAAAAAACACATCAGATAACTCATCAAAACATCCATCAGAACAGTCTTCAAAACATCTATGAAAACCCAACAAAGTTAAGTCAGGTCCTTTGGACGGTTTCTTTTTGATGAAACACGTTGTCTTTTATATGGATGCACTGATCCATTTTTTCTATTTCCGATACCGATATCTGATGTTTAATATCGGCCGATACGATCTGATACAGAAAAACAGTGCTGAATTCTGTTCAGCAAACTCGGCGTGCTCTGTGGGGTGAAATCTCTGGAGATGCTTGATTAAATTGGTATTGTTATAACTGGAAGTTTTAGTGACACCCCCTGGAACCGTTGCTATGCACGTATTGCACGTATTGCACGTATTGCACATATTGCACGTATTGCACATATTGCACGTAGCTGTCTAATGTGTTGGCTGAGGTATTGTGAAATAGTTCCAGATGGCTGATCCTTTCACTCGCTCAATTTTGACAACAATCTGTGCAGTGAGTTCACTAGCACGTGACATCACTCAGAGCACAAAGCATAGAATTAGAGTGAACAGATCTGCCCAGTCATGGATCGGTCACATTGTCACCGATACCCCATCCAGAAGTTTTTTTTAATATCGGGCCCGATAGCAATATTGGTATTGGTTTGGTGCATTTCTAGTCTTTTATCCATCAGTCTGAGGAGCTACAACAAACTCAGTCCCGTATGTAGCACACTCGCATAGTGGGCCAACCAGTTTGATGATAAGGTGTTTTCTGGAGTTCACCTTCACCATCAAACTGGTTGGCCTATTATGTGAGTGTGCTATGTATGGGACTGAGTGTGTTGTGGCTCCTTGGACCAATGAAGTCTTTTAGCTAAAAGACGAAATATTCCAATACAAATCTAAAAAAGTTAAATCTGGTCCTCTGGACATTCAAAAAACAAAACAAAGCAAAACAACAACAAATAAAAAAAGTAGAAACATTTCGTCTTTCATCCAAAAGTGACAGGCTCTGTCCCTGTCTGTTTTCTTTGTATTTGTTTGTGTTTTCCACTTGCTCCTCAGTCTGCCTCTCCACTCCTCAGTCTTTATCATTCACACCTGTCCCTCATCAGCCACCTGCCCAGGTGCTCTCATTACTCACTCTCCCTCTGTCTTATAAAAAGCCTTTCTCTCCTCCACTCCTGGTCCGGTCATTGTTCTGTTTTCACAGACAACATGGTCCTCCTCTATTCCTTGTGCCAGGTATCAGTCTGATTTTTGAATCTGTCCTGTTCTTGTCTGCCTGGATCCTGCCTGTAGTTTTGCTGCCCCGTCAGCCGTTTTGTTTTTTGTGGTTTAAAATAAATTATTTTTATTATAAACTCCTGCCTCGCTCGCCTGCCTGCAAATGGGTCTAAACAACACTGAGGATTGTGATAGAATGACCGGACCAAACCCAGACCCAGCAGGTTCTTCACTCCGCTCCAAGCACCAGCACGAACGTGAGCAACTCCGCCGGGTAACACGTAATTATCTGGACACCAGGGCCACCCCCAAGGATCTGTGGAAGAGGATGGTGGCCGCTGAGGACTTTGTTAACGTGTTTACCCGGTTGGAACTAGAAGGTTATGAACCGGGGGTGTTTGAGCTTTTTTCTGAAGCGTGGAATGAGAGACGTGTGCTACGCTCTCTTCTCCTGCCATCTGCCACGCCCCCCGGTCATCTCAAGCACCCCTCACTGGCGCATGGAATGGTCTCGCAGCCCGCTCCGACTTGCCTGGTCTCGCCGCCCGCTCCGGCTCTCCAGGTCTCGCCGCCCGCTCCGGCTCTCCAGGTCTCGCCGCCCGCTCCGGCTCTCCAGGTCTCGCCGCCCGCTCCGACTCTCCAGGTCTCGCCGCCCGCTCCGGCTCTCCTGGTCTCGCCGCCTGCAGACCTCACGCCGGACTCGCCGCCCGCAGACCTCACGCCGGACTCGCCGCCCGCAGACCTCACGCCGGACTCGCCGCCTGCTCCAGCTCTCCTGGTCTCGCCGCCGGCTCCGGATCTCCTGGTCTCTCCGCCCCCTCCGGCTCTCCTGGTCTCGCCGCCTGCAGACCTCACGCCGGACTCGCCGCCCGCAGACCTCACGCCGGTCTCGCCACCTGCAGACTCCTCGCCGCCTGCAGACTCCTCGCCGGACTCGCCGCCTGCAGACTCCTCGCCGGACTCGCCGCCTGCAGACTCCTCGCCGGACTCGCCGCCTGCAGACTCCACGCCGGACTCGCCGCCTGCAGACCTCACGCCGGACTCGTCTGCTGCAGCCCTCCAGGCTCCCACGCCGTTTGCTGCAGCCCTCCAGGCTTCCACGCCGCCCGCTGCAGCTCTCCAGGCTTCCATGCCGCCCGCTGCAGCTCTCCAGGCTTCCACGCCGCCCGCTGCAGCTCTCAAGCCACCAGTGGGCCCCAAGCCTCCAGTGGGCCCCAAGCCTCCATCACCTGCTGCTGCAAAACCCGGCTCTGACCCCGCGCCTGCAGAGCCCGCCTTCGACTCTTCGCCTGCAGAGCCCGCCTTCGACTCTTCGCCTGCAGAGCCCGCCTTTGACTCTTCGCCGGCAGAGCCCGTCTCTGACCTTCCGGCTGCTGAACTCAGGTCCGACCGCCCGGCTGCTGAACTCAGGTTCGACCGCCCGGCTGCTGAACCCTCGTCTGGTCCCATAGCAGCAGAATCCAGGTCTGGCCCAGCAGCAGTCAGCACCGCCAACTCTGGCCCAGCAGCAGTCAGCACCGCCAACTCTGGCCCAGCAGCAGTCAGCACCTCCAACCCTGGCCCCATTCCATCTTTCCTCGAACTCTGGTCCCGCTCTGGACGGTCCCCGAGCCGTCCGCCCGAACTCTGGTCCCGCTCTGGACGGTCCCCGGGCCGTCCGCCCGAACTCTGGTCCCGCTCTGGACGGTCCCCGGGCCATCCGCCCGAACTCAGGCTTACTAGGAACGATGCCCAGGGCCGTTCATAGAAATACTTGTGTTTAGATTTCCTTTTTTGCGCCCTCCATCCTTGTTTCCCCCATCCTCCCACCCATTCTGTGTTGGGTTCTAGGGGACGTCAAGAGCCGTCCCTTGAGAGGGGGGTTATGACAGGCTCTGTCCCTGTCTGTTTTCTTTGTATTTGTTTGTGTTTT